CATTCCATGCTGCTTCAAGTCTATGGCACACTTCACCAAACATATTAGCTGGAGATGGGTAGCGAGCCAGTCTCTCAGCAACCCATGACCAGATGTTTTCAATGGGTGATAATTTGGAGACTGTGCAGGCCAGGAAAGCAACTGAATCGAGGAAGTATTACAAGGAAGTACTGTGTATCGAGGAAGGTCAGAACATAACTTGCAACATGTGATCTTGCATTATCTTGTTGAAAGATGGCGTTTGACAGGCTTCGAAGTAGGGCACAACCACTGGATGTAAAATGTCAGTAATGTACCAATCTGTGTTCAAATTACCGTCAATCCTAACTAGAGATGTTCATGTTACATACCCAATAGCTATCAAAACCATCACACCAGGTGAAGGGTCCCTATGCCAACATCGAATGTAAGCAGGCGACCTGCGGTCTTTTTGGAGCCTCCAGACACACATATGGCCATCAGAATACTGCACGCAGAACCTGGACTCACCTGAAAAGACAACATTGTGCGACTCCTGTATCCAGCTTTGTTGTTTGATGCACCAGAGTCGCCGTCTCCCTCTAGGTTGCATTGTTAAGGGCAAGACGAAGTAATGGTTGCCGTGCTGATACTCCACCCTGCTGCAAATGTCGATGCTCTGTGCGAGCAGATACTGGGCGTGCTGCAAACATGCTCATTTCCTGACTAATGGTCTGTTATATGGTTTTGCAGGGCTGACCTCACGAACATTAGTCATGAGAGCGCAAATGAGATCCTGCATGCCTTTCAGTATGACCCTCAGCAACTCATTGATTCCATATTTGCATGACTGTATTTGGATGTTGACCAGTATGACAGATCTATAATCCACGCTCTCGATAGGCAGCGATCCTGCCTTTACTGAATTCTGACACTTGCTGGTAAGCATTTCTTCTTATTATTCAAGGCATAACACAATATTCTGATCAAACTCGACCTTACAAAGCGCTTTTCGAATGATAAATCGACTACCCAACTTTTTTTTATGCAGTGCTTCAGATGTCGTTTCTCCCTCTGGCGTTGCTTAAATGTGCTGAAATACTAATCATCTGCGTATCCCAACCTCTTCTTTTCATGTGATTTTGACCTTCAGATCATCTCTTTCTGGTGCTGCAATTTAAATGGCCAGCAGTGTAGTTCTGAAATTTGCGTAAATTAGGACAGCAATTTTCTTTTCTTTTTTCTTTTATCCTTTTATCTTTTTAGTATGTAATATTCAACAAAATCCAAAGCAAAAAATTAAATACACTTAGTTGAAACATGGCAATGTAAAAATCCTGCGCATTTAAAATAGCTATTGGTAAAATGCAGATGATATATTATTGGAAGCAAACAAAATTTCTACTTTCAAATTTAATGAGTTATCATTTTTCCTTAAATAATATTAAAAAATTAATACAATTAAAATTTTGAAATTAATTTCATGCATAATCAATCAGTCATGTATGAAATACATTTTGTATTCATGTATTTCAGTTTGTGCATAATATTTTAAATATTTTCAAATTAAAATATTATGCTCAAATTGATTTCAATCAGTTAAACTTTGTTAAAATAAAGTAAAAAGAAAAATAAATTGAAAGGAATCCTAACAGAGGAAAATGAAATGATGCTCAATTAGAATTTCATTGATTGGCTAAACTGAGAGACTCCTGATTTTTTACCACTGATTTACAATATATTTCTTCCAACTTTTTAATCTTAAAATTTCTCATAATTGTTATGGAACTTGGCTTAATACTTCGTTATATGAACACAAACACAAACACACACACAAAAAAAAAAAAAAAATTTTTTTTTTTTTTTTTTTTTTTTTTTTTTTTTTTTTTTTTTTGGGACGTCTGAAAGCAATTGAATTTTCTCTAGATTATATCTAAAACAAAACCTTGCGAATCAGATGAGAATTTATGCTTTGTGAGTGAGAGCATAAATATCCAGAAACCTAGTTCTCCAATAGGCATCGAGCTCTATTGCGTGTCATCTGGCATATATTAGCCAATGAGCACAAGGCTGTTATTTGGATGTTCTTTAGTTATTTCGTTCATCTTGTCCTGAGTTGTGTTAGTTCACATGCCTTCGGGAAATAGTTTTAGAAATTAACATCTTTCGATATGTCTGTGAGAAAGGTAAATCGAACACAGCAGACTTTCCTTCCATTATTTCCTGACGGAAATGTAATAATTTTGCGATGCGTACCGTCTGTCGTTGCGATTTCTCGATTTCGCATGGTGGAAGGGTGCATGTTCTCAGGACAACATGAGTTGTTTTGAAAGAGAGAGAGAGAGAGAGAGAAAAAAAAATTAAATTTTTCTTCGGAAACAAAGGACAAAAAGTTATTAATGCAGAATGTCTGTTCTCTGCCTTTTTACTGGAGCACAACCTGCCATTGAATGCATCGGATCACACTGCAGCTTTATTTATAAAAATGTTTCCTGATAGTGAAATCACTAAGAAATACTCAAGTGCAAGGACTAAAAAAGGTGCAATTGTTAAAGAATTGGGTTTGAAAAATAAATCTTCAGTTATTGATTGCATTAAAACAGCTCCGTTCAGCCTCTCTACAGATGGAAGCAATAGTACCGATTCAAAACTGTATCCAATTGTTTCTTTTTTTAATCCAGAGTCTTCCTAAATTGAATGCAGTTTACTTTCTGTTCCCACTTTAGAAGGACATTTGACAGGCTTTAATACAGCACAGCTAATTATTAAAACTTTAAAAGAAAATGCAGTTACTCTGGATAATTGCTTAGCACTTGATGCCAATAATATGGCTTGGTAGGCTTGAAGACTGGTGTTGCAGGCATCTTAAGAAAGGAAAATTCAGATTTACAGATTATGAGGTGCACCTGTCACCTCTTAAATTCAGCAGCTGAAAAAGGGGCAGCTTCTTTACCAATAAATGTGGATGAACACATTGTTGATATTTATTATTATCTTGAAAGGAGTTCTAAAAGGAAGGAAATATTGAAACAGTTTGGCCGAGTACCAACTGCTGCATAATACTGAAATGAGAAAAATTTTGAAATGTGTGTACATGCTGGCTGTCTTTAAAGAAATGCTTATCTAGAATCCTCGATCAATGGAACCCACTTCCTGCATTTTTTAAAGAAGAAGTAAATGCTTCGAGAGTTAAGATAAAAGGCTCCATTGAAAGTGATAAAATACCTAAAGTAAATGGAGATGTAGTTACTACTTCCATTGTTAAAAATAGGTTTGATATTAATAAAGTAATTTCTGCACCATTTCAGCAATTCAACTGGCAGTTCTCAAAATAATACTGCAAAATATAAGCGCGTAAAGCTGATACAAATTTCTCTCAAATTAAAAAAATTCCTCAACAAACAAAACATTTTCCGATTACTGCAAGTTTATCTTGTGAAGAACGAATATTTATGTTTTTTTTTTCAGACCTTAACAAAGCTTTTTGCTTCTTTTTACAATTCATTTTGCCATCATTCGATGTTCTTAACACAGTTCTACAAAGCAGAATTCCATCAATTCATACTTTGCAATCAATGGTTTATGATCTGTTTAAAGACACTTTATCAAAGTTTGTAAAACCAGTCTGTGTTTTGTCTTGTAATTCTATATATGATGTGATTTATGTGAAATAGAAAATCAGAAAAAATATGAAGATTTGGAGCTGCAACTACAAAAGTAGTGGAAGAACTTTCAGAAGAAGACAGAAATAAGTTTTATCTTTCTGTTAAAAGTTACTTCTGTCGAGTATGTGATTACATACTACATAAATTTCCAGTCAACGATGAAGTGATTTTGCATGCTAAAATTGCTGATGTTTCTGCTCTAGCAAATGCATCTTTTTCTGATATAAGGTGCTTTTTAAAGAGATTTCCTGTGTTATGTCATTTGTCATGAAAGATGATGATATTGATGTCGCCACTCATATATTGCAGTCGCAAGTTTGCAGTTTACAATTAGAAAACTTCGATGAAGTTAAAAAATCAGCTAGGATTGACACCCAGTGGAGTTTATTTAGAAAACCGAAAGGTGCTGATGGAATTTTAAAATATAGTGAACTGTCTAGAATTATGTTGGCCATCTTGACAGTTCCGCATAGTAATGCAGAGTGTGAGAAGATTTTCAGTGTTGTTGCGAAAACGAGGACTAAATTTAGATCTAACATTAGTGATGACACATTAGAAAAACTTTTCTTAGTGAAAGCAGGCCTACGTGGCAATTGCTATGAACAAAATTATGAAGTTTCTTTCTTAACGAAAGCAAAATCTACCACTGTTCATAACATTTGTACGAAAACTGATTAAAGTGTCTTTTTTTTTTTTCCTTTTTTTCTTAAACAATGCAAGTAATAAAAATGTTTTTTATGTGTAAGGTTATTTTTGTGTTGCTTGTATTTAAGATTTAGTAACTATTTAAAGTTAATTCATTATTAAAAACTATATTTTTATCAATTAAAAAGTCTTTTTAAGATTGTGAAAAATTCCTGATTTCTTAAAAAAAAAAACTCTTGATTTTTGAGTGTCATAGGTTGACAAGTATGTGAATGAGAGATATAAAATCGAGCTTCCCCTTTTTTGACTCATTATACATACTACTGAATGGATAAACTTACCAATGTACCATATATTGATGTAAAATATGGAATAGAAATTAGAAATATTAATTGTTTAAACACTGGTTGAATCTAGTTCTACAAATGTTTACAGTAGATTAAGACAGTTCAGAAAAAATAAAATTTAATAAAAAAAAATTATTCTGAAAATGACAAGAGGATGGGAGAATGGAATTTGAACAATTTAAGTTTCATTTATTGCTGGGGAACCTTTTTTTAAAATAAAGGTTAAAAATTAAAAAACTGGGAGATTGGAAGATGTAACGCAAAACTGGCAGAGTTAGCAGTTATGCATGTTTTAAGACTTTCTGAAAAATAAATAATTTTCATACAGAGATTCCTCTGTATTAATAAATGCCCTCAATGGCTCATTAATTTAAAAGAAACATAATGCAACTAAAAATATTGGCTTAGATTGCCTTGAACTATTTATTTCTACATTATAAAATATAAAGATAAATTTTAATTCATATAATACAAAGATTTAGATATAAAAAAGAAAATTCCAAAAAAAATTCTGGAAAAATTACAGAAAAATTCCAAATAATTTACAAAACTTATCACATGATTAATTATGAATTTCCTGCTGTGCCATGCTTCTGTGCACTGCATATACTACATGTTTCCTGCAATACAAATAAAAATTTAATTAGCTGTACAGATTTAAAATGCACATGAACAGAATTTCTATTTGAATGGCTTTTTGAATATGAGCAACTTAGACAATTTTTAATTATTTTTGTTTTTAAATCTCAAAATAACTTTTTAAAAATTATTTTTATTATTTTTTTTTATTTTTAAGTTTCTCGACAATTTTTTTCTTTGAGTATAATATATAACTGTGTAATTAAATGTTTACAGTTAAGAATATATGAAATCATATCAAATACATAGTATATTTGATATCTTACAGTTATTTCAGTTATGCATGAAAGAGTTTTCTATTCAACTAGAGATTTTTGCATTAAACTTGTTAAAAAAATACATTGACTAATACTGTATATAAATCAGATATATTAGTATCCTAGTTAAAAGCATACAACCTTAAGTAGGCTCACCCTTTTGTTAAATTAAAAATATATTTCATCAATAAGGTTTAAAAAAATTTAATATTATAAAAATTTGATACCAAAAAAATTCAGCAAAAATAAATGAATAAATAAAGCATTACTTAGGTTATTTTCACTAACTAAAAATGTTTACCAAATACAATAAACCCTTGCCAACTTGCGAAATCTGGACGGCTACTCTAGGCTACGAGAGTCGGTAGCAGTTTGTGGGCCGCCAGATGTCGCTGCTAGTGATATAAATTAAAAAAATATTTTCTTTTATGTTAATTACAGAATAAATTATTTAAAATAAAACATTTTGATGCATGTGTGATAGCTGAATGCAGCAGCAATCGGCCATACTGTAATAGAGAATGAATTTTATTTCTTTTCCTGAAAGAAATAATTTTCATAGAAACAGAAAATAAGAAAGAGGAAGAAACATTAAGAAAGAAATATTTTCTTTCTAATTTTTTACATAAAGAAATTTTTTCTAATATTAACTGTAAAATAAATTGCGTGAAAACACAGTTTTAATGTAAAGCATGGAAAAAAAAAAAAAAAAAATAGTTTGCTATATTAGATTGTAATGCAAATTAATGATATTATAAATTGAAATGATTAAAATTGTTTATTTCTAAAAAGATTTGAAGTAAGCTTAATTCATTTACTCTTATCTATTTACCATTGCTTTCGTAATATCCCACATCACTCTTTATTTCGTAGCTCTAAATTTCTGCGTTAACCTTAGAAAATTTCTAAAGCTCTAAATTTCCGTAGCTCTAAATTTCTGCGTTCCCTTAGAAAATGAGATTTTCCTTCACATAACACAGCAGCATATTCTGCTGCGTATTGGTCATAATACTGCTTTGTGCCATTTTTTTCGAACTACAAGTGCAGCGTGTGAGCTAGTGAAATAATGGAGAAATATTTCTAGAACTTCAGCCAGCACGCGCTATAAATTTCGTCACTCGTCTGTACTGCGATTGGCCCAAAGCTCCTTGAAGACTTGTCCCCTTTCAGTAAAATCAAATGGACCTACCCACCCACCAAATGAGGACCACAGAATGGCTTTCTCCAATAAGTTGTGATGGCTGTCCATACCAGTTTTTTTGAGTCAATATTGTTTGCTCAAGTTGTAGACGGATCCATTGATCCTAGAATAATCTTAATTGCCTCCATTTAATTTGTCCAAGCAAGAATTTCAATTATACACACTCAGTTGTGGGACGTTAGTCACTCGTGACAGTCCTCTTTAATGGCTGGCTTGAAAGTTCATTCATTAACAACAAACATTACCAATTCATTAACAACAAACATTATGTGTTGTTACCGAACACAAAATATTTGAAAATATTAGGTCGTATAAAGAGTGTCCGTGCTTTTTTTTGCCACTAGATGGTATTGATTCCTATATATCTGACAGCACTCAACCGATTGTGTCAAATGAACATATGCTTAAAAGATGACATTCAGCTTCTATTCTTTGTGAAGATAGTTTTCTAATTTGTTAATACCAAAACTCTAGATGAATAAATGTACTTGTTACCGAAAACAAAATATTTGAAAATATTGGGTCATATAAAGAGTGTCCGCGCTTTTTTTTGCCACTAGATGGTATTGATGCCTATATTTCTGGCAGCACTCAACCGATTGTGTCAAATGAACATGTAAAAGGTGACATTCAGCTTCTATTCTTTGTGAAGATAGTTTTCTAATTTGTTGCTTGTGTCAAATGTTATATCGATTTGAAAATGAGTGAAATATCTGACGAAATATGGTATGTGATGCTTTTTTACTATAAAAAAGGTAAATAAATTTCAAAAACACGCCGAAAAATTTGTGAAGTATACAGTGAGAATGCTGTGAGTGAACGAAGGACACAGCAGTGATTTGCTTGATTCTATTCCTGAAATTTCGATGTCAAGATTGGAAGGGTTGGGTTATTCAATTATGGCAAAGCACACGAGGGCTATCTGTCTAAAGGGAGAGGGATGCCTTTGTGGAGGACTTTCTAAGGGAAACTGGCTCGTATACACGTTACACATGGGGAAAACCATGAAAACGGCCATGCAGCCAGCCCGTTCGCGGGATTCAAACCTCGGATTGAACTACCAGTGTTCAGCGTCTTTACCGGTCGGCCACTGGTGGGCCAAGATTGGAAGGGAATTGTCCATTATGAGCTGCTGCAACCTGGCAAAACCATCAATTCGGTCCTATACTGTACAGAAGTCGACCGGTTGAATGAAGCAGTCCAGAAAGGGCGACCAGATTTGGCCAACAGAAAAGGAGTTGTGCTGCATAATTACAATGTGCAGCTACACACATTTTTGATGACTTGGGACAAATTGACGGAATTTGGTTGGGAAGTTTTGATGCACCCATCATATAGCTCCGACAGTGCACCATCTGACTACCATGTTTTGGTCTCTACAAAACTCTCTTGATGGTAAAAAACTGACCAAACGAAGCTCCGCTGGAAATCATTTGTCCAAGTTTTTCGATGATAAACCACAGAAATTCTACACCGATGGAATTATGAAGCTATCCGAAAATGGCCAAACGTCACAGATAATAATGGCCAATATGTAGTTGATTAAAATTTATTTTCAATAAAGAAAATTTTTGCTCAAAAATGTACCAAAAAAGCAAGGAGACTTTTTATATGACCCAATACAATTTCTTAGCAAAATGTTTAAGTAAATAAATACAACAGTCAAAGGATATTCTGCTCTTCAGCTATTTTTTACTAAACTTTTGTTATGTTAATTTTTTTTATTGATTTGTTAATTAGTTTTCAATTCACTGTATGTAAGAGTAGATAATAAAAGAATAAGTAATATATGTATTGTGAATACTGCCATTTATGTATTCAAATTGATAAGAATAAAACTCACCATTTTTTGAAAAGGTACACAATCTTCATGGAAGGCATGCCGACAGTTAAAAATAATTATATTTCCTCCACTTCTGGAATCTGAAATATGTATATATAAATACATGAAATATTACAAAAAATTACAAGGAAACTTCAGATGTGTGAATGAAATAAAACACAGAATCAGACAGCTATTAAAAAAATTAAAAATGTTATCCTAATTTAAAATTTCAACGACTAAAGCTATGTGGAAAATAAACACTGGACAATGAAATTACACATGTCTCATTAGAAAGCAGCAAGCATACAAATCTAGTAGCTATATTTCTGACCTCATCGAATTTAATCACAATAATTTAAAAAATGTATGCATTGCAAATCCACAATGTTCTATAGGTTAATCAGAATAAAAATTTAAAAACTGATTAATAAAGCATGAACGATCATAATATTGTACACTTTGTTGTGTTAGCCCTAAAATTTCTATGATTCTGTAAAGTGTACATATTGAATTAATAAAATTTAAAATCAAAGTTAATATTAAACTAATGATTAATAAATATATTCAGGTTATATCTTCTTACTATGAAAAACACATTAAAATAATGGCGAGAAGAAATTCCAAAAAGTATATGATCCAAAAATGTAGTTCTTGTTATTATTGCATAAACTGAAGTTTTATTGCAGCAGAGTTTTCTGCATGAAAACATGTTCTTGTTTTGTTGCTTATGCTCACTTACCTGATGTAGTCAGCCCAATTCCACGAAATTCCTTATGGCGATAAGTGCTACATTACACCTGTCCTCGGCAACAACAACCTTGAGCATCATTCAGGTGACAGTACGATTTAGCTCAGCTGCAACCCCAATTTTGATGAATAGCACACCCGGGGGGGGTCTGAGGGTCTTCCCTCTTCCTTCCACCAAACCACATGAGAGGACTTTCGGCTCGCTGCATATTGAGTGCTGCCATGCCACACCGACACTATACATTTACAAACATCCTTGCCTTCTCCGGGATTCGAACCCAGGCCCTTCAACATGGCAGTCAGCGATGCTAACCACTATACTAGTTGGGCGGCTTAAAACATGTTCTCAAAATTAATTAATAGAATAACTGAGATCCTTTTAATAATTGGATGTTGTAATATGTAGAAAAACAGCAAGTAAGAATCAATAATACCCCCGCCGTCTTTCACTCTCGGCAGCAAACAGCTTCTATCGTATACTTAGGACGGTGTTTGCCAGATGTAAACTTGCTCAGAAGTCAGAAACAGTGTGAAGCAAGACTCATTTGACCAAATGACAGTTTTCCATTACTCTACAATCCAGGTTTTATGACTGGCATTACTTTCTCCTCTTGCAGACATTTTGATCACTAATGAGTGGCTTTTGAATTGTAGCCCACTGAAAAATGCCTTGCTTGTAGAGCTCCCTACATATTGTTTTAGTGCTGACAGGGTTTGGGAGTGCAACATTCAGTTTAGCAGACGTTGTGGCTACAGTCCTCTTATTTTTCATCACAATTCCCTACAAAAATCATCTGTCATGATCACACAATTAATTTTCAATTGTTTCAATGATCAACAATTAATTAAACATTTGAGATTGTCATGATCACACAATATTTTCCGTGCTGTGATTTAGTGGATGCAGTTTTCCTATACGAGTTAAAAATCTTAGATACTGCGCCTCTTGAAACACCAAGCACTTCAGCTACCCTGGTTATGAAAGCACCGCCCCCATACAATTTACCCATGTTTGAATTAATTTAGCTCTGGCATGATGAACTCAAAACTGCACAGAACACTTGCCTCGATGTATGATACTTGCATCTTATTGAAAATGTTGTACAGGTGGCATTAATGAGCAAACACATTACTGCCACCAACAGCTTTTGTAAGAATAAACATTTCAGTTAAAACATTTATTTTACGAAGTGTTTCCATATTTTTGTCCAACCTCTGTATATGATTTAACAAGCTTCAAATACAAAATTCAAACAAACAGCAAAACCATACAAATATAACAAACCAAACACTATCTCAGAAAAACATATTTGATACATTTAAATTGTAAATTAAGTATAATAAAAGGAAGGACTTTTAAAATTATGCTTGAAGGTCTGCGACCCCTATGACTATAACCAGTTATTCCTATTAAATATGTTTTTATTCAATTTCAACACTTCCAATGCCTATCTCTATATCATCGATGCATCTTAAGACAAGCCTATGGAAACCACTGAAAAGATTGAAAAATATAACAATGACTGAAATAAAATAATAAAAACTTACTTTAAATCAATTGTAAAATTTAATCTTATAGTTAAAAGAATAATTAATTCACCATTAAAAGTAAACAAAACCTAATAATAATAATAATAATAAAAAGGTTGGATGTGTTCCAATTATAACTCAAAATCCCCATAATACAAGAAAACAATCAATCCATAAACAATTTAATACTTATCTCCGTGGTGTAATGCAATGGCATTAACTTCATAATTTGAATTTATATTAAGGAAAAACCTCTATGTGTAAAATTTCTACTCATGTCATGTGTAAAAATTTCTACTCATGTCATATATAAAAATTTTTAAACCATGCCATCTAAAACGAAATACATAAAAATTGATAAATGTTTCAATATTTGAGCAATTTGAACAATACCAATATATACACACATAAGCAGTGCATATATATATATATATAGATATATAAACAGGTGATTCAAAACTAGAGGAACAAACTTCTAGGAGTAGTAGCATACACCTAGACAACTTGGAATCCCACAGCAATGCAGACTCAGAAACGCAATACTAACAAGACAAGGGGCCTGTTAGAGGCTGTTGCACAAAGGTATTATGATGGAAAATATGAAAACATTATGATAGCAAACTGAGATTTACAGAACATTATTTTAAAATAAATCATGACTTCACCACATGAAAACTTGTTTGAAATATGCCAGGCATCCACTAGACATTTGCAATAGCCATGAAGATGAGCCATTTCAAAACATTTGAGATTCTAAGCCTTATGCCATGTTATGAAATGTTTAGAATATTCATCATCAGGGAGGTCAAGATTTATTTTTATGGTCTTTGAATGTCAGTTTGTGTCCAACAAATTTCTTCCCTACTACATCTGATCAGCTGAAAGATAACCATGCAGAAATGACAAACCAATAATGGGTGGAAAAACTATTTATTTAGCGATAACCTACAATAGATTTATGCTTTTAGCTTTAGAACATGCACTCAAAATTCTGACTATTCACCGTTATACAGGCTTTACAACAGCAATGCATGGATTGGCAAATTTTTTCAAAAATACCCAGCATGTCATGGATGTTTGTAGCTGCCATGGAGTTTCTTGCGATGAGGTCGGCGTTACAGTCAATGGACAACTCATAAACCATGGCTTTCAGAGTACCCCACAAAAAGAAATCCAGGCTAGATAAACTAGATGATCATAGATGCCATGAGACAGGTCTTCTGTGCCCAATCCACTGCTGTACAAACATATTGCTTAAGTAATCCTGTAAGGTATGGAGAAAATGAGCTACAGCCTCCATTGTGCTGGTACCACATTGCATGCCAAACAGACATAGGAAAATTGTCGAATAATTGTGGCACCATCTCCTGTAGAAAAATGTGATATTTTTGGCTATCTAGTACAGGTGGTAAGAGATATAGCCAGATTAACTTAATCACCAATAATACCCGCTCATACTTCACGGAAAACCATCATTGGGTTGCATGTGGGTGCGCATACTTCTGTGGGTTCAGGCCCACAGACATGGTGATGAGATCCTTCAGACGAAAATGCTTCATCAGGAAAAAATGCAGGACGAACACAGATCTATTGCAAAGTATAATCTCAGGCTGCAAGAGTGCACCTTTCAATGACATGTTGATCCATCAAACTCCATGAGAGGTAAGTTTCTCTGTTACGGAATGGCAACGAGAGAGATTGTTGTTCAAAAGATGGATGATCGAACTGCGTTGTAACGATCATTTTGAGGATGTTGCGTACTGTAAAATGAACTTATTACGCTGTGCTAAATAGTATTAAAATGCTATATATTAAAAGATCTTTCATCTGATCTAAATTTTAACAAACCGCTCATTATTTTCTCTTAAACTCACAATGTTCACGACATTTCTGGCGCCCCCGGGTGGGCGTGTTTGTTGGAAACATGTCGGATGAAAGAATAGATAGGGTAAGTTGATTACCTTATACTTCCGTTTTGAAGTTATTGATTATTGTTTTACTGAAGTTTAAAATACTTTTCTTGCCTAATTTTTATCTGAATATTTTAAACTTTTATGACAAAATGGAAGTGATGAAAAGAAACAAAACTGCGCAACGTTCAGCTTTTACTAAAGCATATAAAAGACTAGATGAACTTTTAAATGATGATAATGTTGATTATGAAGAAGCAGAAATGTGTTTTTATTTGTTCAAGAAAAAGGCAGAAACATTAGAATTGACGCACGGTGCTTATTTAGATACTATAACTGATGATAAAGAATTCGAAACAGAATTTGAAATAACAGAGGACTATCGAGAGAAGGCTGTTAGGATACAGTTAAAATCGGAACGATTTCTCGATAATATTAAGAGTAAATTAAACGAAATCCAAAATACATCGTCAGAGAGTAGTCAGAAATTAGTTACTGATGAAAATACATGTAAAACTTTGTGCCAACGCCTACCGAAAGTAGAACTTTATAAGTTCGCAGGTGATTTAAAAAATTGGCTTACGTTTTGGAATCAGTTTAAAAACATACATGAAAATAATAACTTAACGAATGCAGACAAATTCCATTATTTGATACAGTCAACAAAAATTAAATCAGAAGCTAGAGATATTGTAGAATCTTTTCCGGTGACGAACGAAAATTATCCTTTGGCTATAGAAAGCCTTACTGAGAGATATGGGCGTAAAGAACTTTTAATTGATTTTTATGTTCGAGAGTTAATAAAACTTGTTTTGGATAACGCAGCGAAAAGGAAGCAGGATTCTTTGAGTAGTTTGTATAACAAACTTTCAACACAACTTAGAGCCCTGAGCAGTCTTGGTGTAACGACT